GGGCCGGCCCGAGGCTAGTACATTTAAATATATTTATGTCAGTCTGGGTTAACAGGCTTCAGTGTAACCAAAAAATTTATATTTTACAGCACGAGAAAAGTTCGTTAAAGTGGATTATCTAAACACTCTTTTAAAATATAATGTAAGGTGGGTCCGAGTGCAGTGGTGATTGATCACAACCAGTTACAGATTACTTTATTCCTTCTCCACTCCCACTGCTTCACTTCACTCGCCTTTAAAAACAAAAACAAAAACAAACAAACAAAAATAATAATAAAATAAAATATAATGTAAGTCTGGTTTCCAGGGCTTACGAGTGCGGGCAGGTATAGCTATAAAGGGCAATGCAAGGCAATTCTTTGGGGTAATGAATGCAAACGTTTTGTGTCCTGATCTTGGTGGTAGTGTGTACAAGAATCAACACACGTGTTAAAATTCACAGAACTATACATTCCATAAAGTCAATTTTACTCTATGATGACGTTTAAAAAAATACGATTTTAAAAAATTTGCCAAACAGGCGAGAATCTTTGCTTTCTGTGAAACTGTTTAAACAGTGGTATGTGTATGCCTAAAAACTACTTTTGGGCCGGCACGGTGGCGCACTGCTACAGTGCGCCGCTTGGGAAGCGTGGCGGTGCTCCCGCCGAGGGTTCNTCTATTCAGGAGTGCGGAGAGTTGTTTTATAGAATTGTAACTGAAGAGGACACTGAAATGTCCTGGGGTTTGGAAGGACAGCACCAGTTGTTCAATGGCAGGGGAGAAAGCTCCATATAGATTTTTGGAAACAATGTGAAATCTTTATTTTTTTTAATTTAATTTAATTTAATTCTTTCTTTTGCAGCTGGCTGGAGATCTTTGGAAGATGCAATTTAATTACATCAAAATTATTTCAGTCTCTAAATACATTTCAATAAGCCTCTCAGAGGGACATCTTAATTTTAGTAAGTCAACAAAACTCACTACAATGGATAAATCTTGTTAATAAATAGTGTGCTGGAATATCAACTAAAACAAAATACAACAAAAGAGCTATAGACAACTAGTCTGATAGAAATAACAGTACCAATTAGGTAATCAGATATACGCCAAGTAAGTTAGAATTTGAATTTAAATTAAAATATACATGGCCACCAATTGGGTATAGTGACCTAGTTCTTTTTCAGGCTATTAAATTTTCAGTGCAACTGAATTATCCTTTCAATATTGAAAAAGTATATACAACGTGATTTAAGAGGCTAGTACATTTTTTTTTTTTTTTAAAAAGATGACCGGTAAGGGGATCTTAACCCTTGACTTGGTG